TGGCCTAATAGGGCAATTCACACAAGTTCCTATCCTATGTTCAAGAACGAGAGAGGCACTGTCGGTCATAAAGCAGGTGACAGTCGGTCAATGGCATTGAATAAAGTCGATAAGTTAAGATACAGTCAACATCGCTGTGTGTAGCAACATACTCATGTCACACAGACACACACACACACACACACACACACACACACACACACACACACACACACACACACACACACACACACACTGTACTGTACTTGTTGCTCACTGCCAAAACTGGTCACGTGAGTCCCCCCGGGAGAGGGGAGAGAGACTCAAAAGGAATCTTAGAAAGATGACTCAATTGATTATTGAACCGCCCAACGGCCAACACCCCCTGAAATCCCCAAAACTCTGGGTGGACTTGAAAATGATCCCACTTATGGGCTCACCACATACACACATACAAACACACACACACACACACACACACACACACACACACACACACACACACACACACACCCTCAGACCTCAGACATGCCCATCGCGGAAGCGATGATAGCGAACAGCTATGTTAGACATAGCAACTTGTGCTGGGATTACACAATTCAACAGCTTGCAAGGCTGATGAATTGACCGCAACTAATTTTAGCCTGGTATCCACCACACAGCTGTTTGAAGTGACTTTTTCTGGCCAGTGAATCCCAATTTTTTTATTTTTTTATTTCTTTTTCAACAAACACCACACCACATACTCCGGCATACACTGGCTGTTGTTAACCACCCAGGAGAATGAAAGACGAGCTAGGAGAATGAGAAAGACACACAAACACACACACACACACACACACACGCATACACACACACACACAGAACACACACACACATGGACACACAGATGCACACACACACACACACACACACACACACACACACACACACACACACAGAAAGACACACACACACAGACACACACACACAGACACACACACACACACGGACACAACACACACACGGACACACAGACACACACAGAAAGACACACACACACAGACACACAGACACACACAGACACACACCGACACACACACACGGACACAACACACACACGGACAAACAGACACACACAGAAAGAGACACACACAGAAAGAGACACACACACACACAGAGACACACACACACACACACACACACACACACACACACAGAAAGAAACACACACAGAAAGAAACACACACAGACACACACACAGACACACACACAGAAAGACACACACAGACACACACACACACACACACACACACACACACACACACACAGAAAGACACACACAGACACACAGAGAAAGACACACACAGACACACACAGAAAGACACACGCACAGCCACACACAGGCACACACACACACAGACACACATACAGACAGACACACAAACTGTCTATGTACGTCTATTGTGTTAGAACACAGAACGTGGAACCCGTGTAATGTGACAGATTCACTCGAAGTGAGCGTGTACTTCTGCAAACTTACACACAAGCTGGCTGTACGCAGTCCTGATCATACCCACATACTTCGAGCACAAGCTAACGAGCCTTTTGATCTGCTGGCCTGGAGTGTGCCTCAAATCTGTTTAATCTGTCTGTGTCTAGTCTGGCATGTGTTGCGCTAAACGCGTTTGGTCATGTGAATTTTTTGTGTGCTTGCAGGGCGCGCTTAAATACACACACACACACACACACACACACACGCACGCACACACACACACACACACACATGCGCATTCTCGAAATAACTCGAGAAACACCGGTCAAGACATGATTAATTATAAATTAGATAATTATAATTTATAATTATCTCCCAGCCCTGACAACAGCAAGCGCCTGTATTGCAACAGGTTCAGATCATATTTTCCTATTAATTTAGAAAAAAAGCACTTTAACTTACACCGATAGTTCCTACTGTATTTCCAAATATTCTTACTCTGCATAGCCCTCTTTTTTCCGTGCTGATCCCAAACACACTCTCTCGCTTCTTCGTTCCTTTTTTTCTGTTGTAAGCCGCCTTCTGCAAGTGTTTATTTTTATTTTTACAGCACCCAAGATTACCTCCCGTTAACAAAATAAATTTATTATTGTATTTTTTTAGTAACAAACACAGACCTACTGAATATCTGTGGAAGGTTTGTCTCTCATTCTCTAACTGAAGATTGTTATTGTTTAACTTGCCAGCACGTGTTGAGTAACCATTATATCCTTTGTTTAGCTTTATATTACTTCACCAGAAGCACAGGCAAATTCTGCCTTCTCACTGGGCGTATTGCCACAGGGTATATCAGTGCATCACTTGAATATCCAAGTGGCGGATATTGCATTGATTATTTCTTTGTCAGGTATTAATTTTCTCTTTCTAAAGTTGGAACCTTATGTCATTTGGGAAGATCCGGGGTGACCGGGATAGTTACTTTAGCAATAGATTTCTCCAATTCCTTTATCTGAAGATGGTACTGGAATGTGTGGACTGAGCAATAAAGGCATGTCCATGATGTATGCATCATGAAGTTTCACTGCAATGACATCATTTGCCCTTTTCCGCGTTGTTTGTGTCAGTAAGGGCGCGTTCGTAAATCCTCTCGGAAAAGTGGGAGACTCTCGGAAAGGTTCGAGAGCTGTTCTTATATCCTCTCCGAATTTTAGGAGGTTCTCCAAAGCTCTCCAAGCTTCAGAGGTGGCTGAAACTTGGAGATTCCCGCGGTTTGGGATCAGCGCATGCGAACTACAGCTAAAAGCCACGTGTTGATCATGAGTGTACGCATTTTCCTTTTTGCATACGCACAGTGCGTACTACATACGTGGCACTCAAGAACACAGCCCCTTTGGCGCTTCATAATTGCTTCACATGTGCAAAATATCTCCGACTTCTTGGAGACCCGGGCCGTTCTTGCATGATACCACTTTCTTCGACTTCTCTTTTCTTCTTCTCCGAGAAGCTAGAGAATAAAGAATGCACCCTTAGTATACTGTAAAAGCAGAAATTTTCGGTGGTGTAATATATTCAGTTTTCTCCAAAATCGGCGGTTTGGTAGAGGGAAATTTTCGGTAAAACCCGTTCTCCAGGTAGGTGCACTAGTCACTACATGTAAACAGTATTGGCTGCACCGAAATTTTCGGTGCGTTTTATTATGGGTAAAAATTGTCGGCACCGAAGTTACCGAAAATAAAACACCACCGAAAAGTTCTGCTTTTACAGTATAATATAGAAGCAAAAGCCTTGCTTGATAGTTTTTAACATGTTTTCGATTTCACAGTATGTTGCAAGGCGAGGACGCACAGCGCTTGTCTCGGTGAGTAGCAGTGTCTGCTCTAGGATTTCAAACCAACCGGGCACACGTGTACCTGGCACAGCTCTTCCAACCGGGTGGGAGCCGGGTACGTCCAAGAGCGGCTACTGCATGCACATCAGGGAGCCGTACACATTATTTTAAAACTCCCTGATGTACCGGTATCATGTAATTATTATGTAGCATATGTACTCCCAACCCGGTGTTCTTTTTCCAAGCGGGCTCAAGTACCTCCAGGACCCGGCTAACCCAGCTCTGGAACAGACAATGATTACTGTTCATAATAATGGTGAGTGCCTGGCAATGGCAAATGGGGTAGGGGGGGGGGGGGGGGGGGCTTATGGCTTGTTACAGCCAGAACTCGCTTAACCGCACATATCCGTAAAAAATCTCCGGATAGGCAAGGGAACAAAATAATCGAACACACATAATGACATGTATGCATGGCACATGCTGTAAATAGAAAAAAAAGATTTTCTTCCGGATGGCGAGGGATCCGGATAAAACAGGACCGGATAAGCGAGGTCTGACTGTATCGCCCTGCAAATCTGCAAACGTGGACGGTGCTAGCAAGCCATTAGGGTTGAACTTCCAGTGTCGACTATTATAGAATAAGGTTAATCTTCACTTGAATAGAAGGCAACTTATTTTAAGTTATTAGGAAGCAGTTTAGAGCAGATCTGCTGAGAGGCTCTTTCATATTCACTGTGCATGGTATCGAACTCGCTTTCATCAAGTCTTACAACGTTTCAGCAAAACTTGCAAACCTGATGAGGTCGATTTTCCTGAAACTTTGCAGGAATCAATGAAAATGAGTTCGATACTATGGAACCATTGCGCAATGACGTAATTTGCACCATAAACACGCTTGCACAGCCACCTGGGCATGGTCGCCTGTAGACATACGTGGATAATGCCGGCAGAAAAATTGGCAGAAGTCGCCGTACTTTTCTGGTAAGCTTCATGCATGTTTGGTATGTGGGTAAAGAAATGGAGCAGAATTCGAGGAATTGCCAGCCATAAGGTTTGTATGGTTCTACCAATTTCACTGCTTTTCGAGCAGAATCTGCCACCTTTTCGAGCAATATCCGCCAATGCCTAGTCGTCTGGGGGTGTTGAACAGTGCATTCCTGGGTACTCACAAGCATTACTCAATGGGTCAATCGCAGAGTAAATGGGAAACAGTAGGTCGGTAGTGCTGCTCCATGAAATCCGGTCGCGTCACTCAAGTACGCGCGTTGCACCATTTCACAGCCCAGCGTGTGCAGATCTAGGGCGCACAATGCCCGGCGCGTACTTGATGGATGCGACTGGATTTCAATGATCAGTGGTGTACATACATTCCTATGAATGAAGCTGCAGGTCGCCTCGCCACAGCCAGCGGACCCATTGCGCAACAGACGTACACTGTAATTTGCACGGCGAACACCCTACAGCCACACAGCCACCCGGGCATGCATGGTCGTGTGGGGTGTTGAACAGTGCATTGCTGATCCCAGCGCTAGCGTACTCACAGGCATTACTCATACCTTCCATATTTGGAAATGCGCAATGGGTCCACTGAAGGTGATGGAGCAGGCTATTTCCGAACCGGGTTACGAAGTGGTCACATGTCCGTACATATACTTCGACGTACTGTAAAGTGCCTTCGGCCCAACATCTCGGTGAAGTTTGTATTTATTTCGAGGACTTGTTTCGAGGCTAATTTTACACGCATCTAACAAAAAAATGATATGGAGACATGATATGAATGTGTGGAGCGCAAGCTGTAAAGGCCAACCGCAGTAGTCAGCTTGTCCCGAAAGACAAACTTCAGTGCGTATGGACGTGTATCTAGGAAAACGAAAGCAGATAAGAGCGTTCTATTGACCATGGAACCAGTACAGTACACAACCACCAAGAAAAGTGGAATTTCAAAAGAAAGAACACAAGTTAGGTCCAAGCCTCGGCTGGACAAGCTGGCCTCTTTGCGTGATGGTAATGGCACTCGGCCATGCACTGTTGAGATGGAAAGATGAAAGCGAGAGATGGAGAGAAAGCGACTTAGCGTGTGATCAGCATCACTGCTGATAACTCATTAGCATAGTTCATTGCTGCACAGCAGTAGCGACCTGCATACTACTGTTATGAGCTGTAATGCTTTGGTGAGACTGGCAGCTGGCAGCAATGGTATCGGGGTTACAGACATGCAGTGTTCGAGATAGCAGAGAGTAGAGAACGGTCGTGCAAACAGGCATGTGCAAGATGGATGGGTTGCGCAGCCCCAATCAGTACTGGGAATACGGGTTGAACAGCCTCGGCCAGTACTCAGTATAAGGGTTAAACAACCCCGACCCGAACTTAGAATAGGGGCTTAACAACCCCGACCAGCACTTGGAATATGGGTTGACCAGCTCCGACCAGGACTCAAGAGGCATTGACCATGTGCGAGACAAATTGTGACAGCTGCACATGTGCGGGACTGCCTTGGACAAACGAGCGCCGGATTGATCAAAAATGCATGCATGAATAAATCAGTGGGCCCTGCCGGGAAAGAACACTTGCGGACACGCAAGACAAAATTCCGTCAAGGCTATTATTCCCTGCTCACCGCTCGGCACTAACCAACTTTTGTGAAATTTTCACTACCACCTGCGTGCACCAGTGCAGGGTGCATGTTGATGCCCCCGTGTTTAAATATCCATCACGGGAGCGTGCCTGACCTGGGAGTCAGGCTTTACTTTTTCTTTCACAACCATGTGCGGACTGTTGTGGTGGAGGACTTCTGACCGACTGCGAGATCCTGCCATTACAGGGGCCGGGGGCTGGTGAGGTCATCGGATACGAAGTGCGACACCGTGGAGCTTTCGGCCGGCTGTGGCAGCTTTGCCAAGTGAGCAGTGGGCGAGGGGAGTTGCGAGTGCTGCGGTGTGTGCTGTGCGGTAGCCGTGCCGTACTCGGAGTAGATGTCGCCCGACGAGGCGTCGTCCATTATCGGCTGGTTGTCGAGCACGCAGTTATCTTCAACGCTCGAGCCGGCCAGGTGCGAGACGACCGACCTCTGCGAGGCGACATCTGAGTACATGGAGTAATCGTTTTCAAACTCTTCGAAGACCGTCGAGTTGAAGCTGCCGATAGACGGCTGTAATGCGAACGGTTTGTGAGCGTTCTCGCTGGCAGCGGCCTGGTTGCCGCGTTGCATACTACCGCCTCCTACGGAGCGGAAAGAGGCGTTGCCGGTATTACTGCGCTGACTGCCTCTGTTCACGCCGTTCGGTCTCAGGCGGTTGCGGTCGTGCAGTTTATCCTTCGGCGGCGGCGGCGCTGCCTGGCTTTTCGGCAGGTCCATGTAATCACTGTACACGTCTTCGCCGTTGTCGTTGCTGGTGGTCTCCTGTCGCAGGGGAGGCAAGCTCGGCGGGTTCATGTGGTCCATCTGTCCGGGAAGCTTCATGCTCGTGTGGCGGCGCAATCCCTCCGGACTCACTGGCTCGCTGGGGCCGTCGAAACTGCGAATATCTGAGAGAAACGACGATGTGGCGCATAGGTCAGCCCTGTTGTGGTTGGCGTTATTGTCGTTGCTTTTGCCCTTTCGACTCTTGTTGCGATCGGCGCTGGTGCAGCTAATTGCTGGTCCCCAGTGCTTCCCGGCCTTGGTAGCATCATCGACGGGATCAAAGTTACCGGACGCCGTGGGCAGGCTGATTCTTGAGCCCGTGAAAGAGTAGCGTGCGTTGTTGATGTTGTTGTTGTTGTTGTTGTTGTTGTTGCTGTGTAGCGACGTTCCCGACATGTAGGTCTTCACGTCCGCGTATGTGTCGTAGTTGCTGCGAGAACAGACGTGCGGTGACAGAGCAGGCGTGCGCGCACATCGACGCGAGTAGGCGTGCACGCATTCACGCATGGACGCACGGACACGTGCACACATGGACGCACAAACACACACACGTACACATATGGACAGACACGTGCACATACGCATGCACACACACACACCCACGCACACACACCCACACACACACTCACACACACACACACACACACACACACACACACACACACACACACACATACATACAAACACACACACACACACACAGGATTATTGTCTTGGTACAAGTATTCATCCGCATGACCATGCTCAAATCTTGAATGGATTTCCAACTCCAGATTCATTGACTGTACAAAGAAAATGTTGCACCAGCATGCACCACAAGTTGCCTCTCCGACAAAAGCACTACGCAGTCAGAGTGGGACCAAACACCAAAGCTTCCTAGAAATGGTCATTGTAAAATCATTTCGGTCTTCTGATGTCATCATCTCCAGCCCAATGTATCTGTGGGATGATGTCACCACAATTGAACCCACTTTGTCTGTATGTTGTTATCACACTCCAGCCATTGGTGATTGTATCCGTACCTCATGGACAAATTCTTGAGATGAGGTTTTTGTAATGGCGCAATATACAAGACTCGATCCAGTGCATTGCAAATGTGCAAATTCACCCACAAATGGCCAAATGGCCGCACATGTTCTGGTCGGAGAGCTAGCGCTCAAAGTGGATTTCGACCATGGCACATTGATCATGGGAGGTTTAAAATGTTATTGTCTTTCTTGCCGAGGCAGTAGAGTGCACAGCAACACACTCCACTTCCACGGTTGCCATGGGCTGTTGCCATAGTATTTCGTGAAATGCCTTGTACGATCATGTCTGAAATGTGCGGACTCTGAAAGATTTTGGAATTAGACATATTTTTTTAAACTAACAGACAAACAAACAACCACTCATGGTACATGCGCGGCACTCACTCGTCAGAGGGATTCTCGCGCATCTCCTGCGCGCAGAGCGGCGGCTGCTGCTCCGCTTTCGTCCTGCTCTTGCTGCGCACGTGCATGACCAGGAAGGTGGAGATGATGCAGGCGACCAGCACCGTGCCGGCAATGCCAATCACCAGCACTGTCCAGCGCAGCGTGGCCGCCTGTGGATGGGTCACTACACACGCAACACAAGCAACGCGGGAAACACACAACGGCGACTTTCATTAGCTTCTTCTCCATAGGCACACCCATTCTCATTCCCCTACTCTAACCGGACATGTATAAACACATGGAACACAAGTATGAGGGGGGGGGGGGGGCATTGACTTTCAGTTTCCTTGGAGACAAGAATGCGATAATGCTAAGAAGAAAGACACACTTCAGGCTCTTGAACAAAGTCTAGCACATGTATACTTTAACTTTTCGAAACCTTAGTGTCCATCAATTTTCCTGAGCCCTTTCCACACAAGCACGCCCACTCTCGTTCTTTCACGCTCACTGAAAATCTAACTACAAATGGAACACAAGCGGGGAAGAATTCAACTTTTACTTCCCTCAGGGTCAAGAATGCGATGATACTAGTAACAAAGACACAAGCACCATAGAGCTACAAGTTACTCTGTAATATCCACTAACACCACCAGTTACTTTACAATCAGCTCATGCGATAACATTGCACGACACTGACCGACGGTACTGGCGTTCTACAACTAACTGGCTAACAGCTCTAGCACATCTTGGATGCGCACTCCAACAGCCTTCCAACGGCTTGGAAGGTTCTAAGTTAAAGAAATAACATACCGTATTATCTCTAATATAAGCACAGTCTCCAATAATAGCACGTCTCCAATAATGGAACACATTGGGGCGGCATTCAAAAAATAAAGTGCTCAGTCCCCATTATAAGCACACTGTGAAGTGCTCAATGTGAAGTGCTCTGAAAACCACCCGGGCCTCCAATAAAGGACACCGTACGGTAGTATATGTACGCACATTGCATGTACATGTACATGTTATCATGGTCAGTCGCGCGATCGCGCGCGCGCGGTGCACAAACCTCTGAAATGAGGTTGAAATAATAATGGAACAGTCTCCAATAAAGGAACGTCTCCATTATTAGCATGGGCGGAGGTACATTGAAAAAATATAGGACCGTGCTTATATTAGAGATGATACGGTAAGGAGGGGAGGGTGAGCGCAACCAAGACAAGCTGGAGCTGAAAGTCCACTAAAAATGAACCAAGGCACGATTCAAGGTTAAATTGGCGGGAGTTGCAGAATGCTTGACTGGCTGTACAATGTTCAAGATCTGCATCGGGGGTGCTTTCTATTGCATTGAATCCCAAATGTTTCTAACACTGGGGTTCGACCCCCGCACTCCCGCAAGGGGCACTGACCCCATAACCCCCCCCCCCCCTCTTCTGGGGGACACCCCGGGCCCCCGGCCGTACCACTTGCCAACAGCCTCCAACGGCCCTGGTGCTTCAGGCTTTTGAAAAAGCATCTTGAAACTCTTCACTAGCACACCTCCACATATTGAAGAAGGTTTTAAAACACAGCTAAACAACGCAGATCAAACACGGGCAACAACAGTACTAACCTGGCAGCTGCAGATGGCTGCAGACAGTTCCGTTGCCTACAAAGCCCGACAGGCAGTGGCAGGTGTAGCATTGCGTGGACAGCGCCGGCGTGGTGTCGCGGTGTATGCAGGTGGCGTTCATGCTGCACTGGTGCAGCTTGGTGCGGCAGATGTCCAGTGCCTGGCAGCCGGTGCCCGTCCACTCGTACAGCGCCGGGCACTGGCAGCTAAACGACCCTACGGTGTCCACACAGGCCGGGCACGTTGTGCAGTTCGTGCCGTCGCCGCCGATAACGTTGTGTGGGTCGCACTTGCC